TATCATCTTGGTTATCCTCTCTGAGTTTTATTCTATTATTTAGTGAGATCTATGTTCATCATTAACATTTTTTAAACAAGCAGCTTTATGTTTTCTGTCACGCTCTTGTCCCATTTAGGAATATCTTCTGACTAACACTTGCAGATTCAGCTTGTTATTATTCTTTATAGTTAAGCTTACTGTAATTCTTTATAATTAACACTTTTTGAGTGCTGCAGTGGATGGCTATATGCTCTTCAGAAGAGATAGACAAGGAAGGAGGGGTGGTGGTATGTCTCTCTATATTAGAGTGTGTTTTGATGTTGAGCTCAGGGCTGGGAATTATAAGATCGAGTCCCTGTGAGTAAGCATCAGGGAGAGGGCCAACAAGTCTGATATCCTTGTGGGAACTTATTACAGACTGCCTAACCAGGATGAAGAGGTGGATGAGGTGTGCTACAGCCAGCTGGCAGAAGTTGCATGATTACCAACCTTTGTTCTCATGGGGGACTTCAACTTGATGTGTGCTGAAAATATAATACAGTGCAGAGAAAGAAGTGAGAAACAAGTCTAGGAGGTTTCTGGAGTGTGTAGAAGATAACTTCCTGGCACAGCTGGTAAGAGAATGTAGCAGCAGAGATGTCCTGCTAGACCTGCTGTTCAAGAAAAGGAGAACTAGTGAGAGATGTAATGGCTGGGAAATGTGTTGGGCAGATAAGGGACATGGTTTAATGGACTTATGGTGGGTGGATGGTTAGACTAGATGATCATGGAGGTCTTTTCCAACCTTGGTGATAATTCCTGCCAAGATTTATTTCCTTTACTGTGAATTCTACACATTTTTGAATGTCACTGGACATCTTGTATTTCCGAAACCTACACATGCTGTTTCATTAGTGATGACGTTTTAATGCAACAAACTGCTCACAATCAGACTTCTTTTTTAAAAACTTTTGGTGAGACTATCTTGATGACTTTTTGCCTTTTTTTATTAGTTTTCTGTACTCCCTTTCCCAGTGTTGTACCATAAGTATTTGTAGTTCCATATAGTCATAATGAATCAGCAGAGTACAGTGCCAGATAACAGGCTTTCAAAATGCTAGCATTATGACTGCTGCTATACATGTGCTTTTACATACAAGAATAAGTAAGAAAAATAACTCTGATTGGTGGATTTCACAAATAGTCCAAAGATTAACCCTTATAGAGACAGCTAAATTCAAGTTGATATGCTGAAAAAAGGCATACAAAGAAAATGACCAAAGTAGATCATGATACCTTAATTCCTTAATTCCATTTTCTTTCATCCTTCTCACTCTATTTGGCCCCTCTTACCGAGTTCCTCTCACATGGGGGCAGATAAAAATTCTTCCTGTTCTTTAAAGCAGTGTCCTTCTCCTCCACCTTCTTTCTGCTTGTCTCTATTATGGATTTTGATTTGAATTATAATATACAGAGACTCACTGTCATGAAGTGACTAAATGGAATCCTATAGAACACTTTACAACTTTTCTTGTTCGTGAATTTGTATCTCAAATTTATTGTTTTAATATCTCAAAGTCCAACAGCTTATTAACTTCTAAGACACTCAGAATACACTTTTTCTGATCATGTGTCACTCATTCTAATGGTTTTGTTTTTTGAAGGACCAATAAATCTTATAAGCAGAGGTTTAATTTCCTCCTTTGAAAGAAAAAGGAAAAAATGATGGAAGTACTTGATGTTGGCTGTATAATAATGAGGTATTCATCTCTTTATCTATCTATTAAGGTCCTTTTCAGGCTAATAATTGGGAATTGATCATTGTAAAAAACTATATTACAGCAACAAAAATGACATATGCATTGTACTGATAGGATATTAATATTGGAATCTATTTCTTACAATAATATTGTATGGAAAAGCATGAACTTTTCACTCATAAGTTGTATTTTGAGAGTTTCAAGCCTACTTGGTATCTCTAATTGTTTCATGTAAATTTTCTTTCCCCCACTAGTATTGTTCAGTTAATAGGTACCAGAATTTTAATTTGATTTTTATTTCTTTTCATTATTATGATAAGCATTTTATCTTCTTTGGGCATTTATATTTCCATAGGTAATAAGCACAGTCAGTTGTAGCAAATCTCATAATTCTGAACCGTTTTCTGCAGGTTTTGTCTCTGTAAAATTAATTACATCAGTTCATTAATAGAATAATTAGTAAGCATCAGGTGTGGGGTGGGAGGCAGAACAGAAAGAGGGAAATTCAAAGCATAGAGAATTAATTGACAAGGAACCTGTAGAAGGATCAAAGGCAAACTCACTGAAAACTAGTCCCAACTATAAAGGCATTTCAGATTCTGTAGAACATGACAAGCTGGGCCTTTTAGCAAGGTGGCATCCATCAGAGGGAGAAGTACCTTTGTAGTACTGTGGTTCATCCCCACCAGAAATTTATAACATTTAGAAAAAACTTCCTAAGCCTTAATTTTCTCCCTGAACTAGTGTATTAGCAGACAAGCTAGCGTCAGATCTGGTAAAGCATCACACTAGAAGGGAGTGGCAACACACAGTGGAAGAAATATATGTCTATACCAAAGCACTCAGTGGAGGTCAGGACATCCTGGCCGTGTAGAAAACATCACAGCTCCCGTTGCTCTCCAGAGGGTAAAACCTACATGGTCAGTGTGTGATAAAAAATCCATAGTTGGCACACATGGAGCTCTGGGACCAGCCAAGAACATACTGGTGTCGTAATGTATGGGGTTATCCACAGCAAGGGGCTGTAAAGAGAAGGTGGGAGTACCCTGTGCTGACCACTGTTTAGTCTGGTCAAATCCAATGGCCCCACCACAGGGCATGGCTGGGCCCAACAACAAAAGTGGTGTCACGCCTTGTGATGCTGTTGTCAATAAACTGATACCTCCTCATTATTTTTAACATTATGTAGCTAGTAGATAGTGTGTTGTGAATGTGTAATATGTTTTGTTAAAGAATCAGGAGTATGATAAATACAGATTTCAAAAAGAAAATTTTCTGGTCCAAAGTTTTATGTCCAGGTGGAAGCCTTCAGGCATCATCTTGGTATCAGTGTTTTTTAACACATTTATTGATGACCTAGACAATGGGATTGAGTGAACTCTCAGCAAGTTCACAGGTGACACTAAGCTAAGTGTTGTAATTGGTACAAGAGAAGTAAGGGATGCCATTCAAAGATACATGGACAAGCCTAGGAAATGGATCCATAAGAACCAAATGAGGTTCAACAAGGCCAAGTGCAAGGTGTTGCTCTTGGGTTGGAGCAATCTCAAGATATGTGTACAGACTGGGAGAAGAACTCACTGACAGCAGGTCCGTGGAGGAGGCTGGGGTTTCTGGTGGATGAAAAGCTTGTTGCAAGCCAAAAGTGTATGCCTGCAGCCTGAAAGGCCAACCACATCCTGAGCTGCATCAAAAGAGGATTGGCCAGAAGGGTGAGGGAAGTGATTGTTACCTCCTACTTTGTCCTTGTGAGGCTTCATTTGGAGTACTGTGTCCAGTGTGGGACTCCCAGTACAGGAGGAGTGGGGAGCTGTTGGAGAGAGTCCGGAGAAGGGCTGTGAAGATGATCAAAGGGCTGGAGCACCATTCACTTGAAGAAAGGTTGAGAGAGCTGGGATTATTCAGCCTGTAGAAGAGGATGCTCCAAGTAGACCTCACTGTGGCCTTCCAACACTTAAAGGGCGCGTACAGGCAGGAGGGAGACTGATTTTTTATGTGGTCTGATAGTGATACCTATCACGAGGTGGAAGGATCACAAGGAGGAAGATTTTTAAACTGAAAGAGGAAGTATTTAGATTAGGTACTGGGAGGAAATTTTTTACTAAGACAGTGGTGAGGCACTGAAACAGATTGCCCAGAGAAGCTGTGCATGCCCCATTCCTGGAGGCATTCAAGGCCAGGTTGGATGAGGCCCCAGGAAACTTGATCTAGTGACTGGCAATCCTGCCCAAGGCAGGGGATTGGAATTGGATAATTTTTAAGTCCCTTCCAACCCAAGCTATTCTATGAAAATATTTCAAATAAAAATCTTCAAGGATGTGCTCCTTGGTTAATGTCTTATTTGAATGCTGTCAAATGTGTTAGCCACTTAATAGTAGTATGATTATTTTATTAATAAGAATTAACATCAGATATTGATAGTAATTAATGATGCTTTTACAGTTCTGACCATCCCATTTCCTTTTTAATGATCAACGCAGTAATTATTTCCAGGGCATTTTAAAACACTCGGAAGATTAATTTTATTTAGGTGTTTGTTCTGGGTATTAATGGCCTATTGACTTTTTGAGCTTTATTAGATGATGACATGAAATCAGTGGGGGTTTGGAGAAGATAAGTAAAGTGTCTGTGCAAACACTGATGTCTTAAGGGGTGTAAATATCTTTACCGTTGCTACTTTGCCTTGTGCAAAGTTAGACAAAAGCAGTTATTGATCAGTATTCTTATTAGCCTCCATGAAAGAAAACGGGAGAGCTCTGTCTACTTTGAGCATAGTACTAACTCACTATTCAATTAGCATTATCAGTTTAATTTATTTAATTGACACTTTCTGAAGAAAAAAAAAAAAACAACAAAGAATGAGAATAGGTTAACAATGGAAATAGGAGTAAGTTCTTTTTATTCACGCCATTGCAAAAAGCACACATAGATGAGTGCTGCTATGCCAGGCTGACTGGCAGAGCGCAGAGGGTCGTTGTTGGCCGTGCAGAGTCTGGCTGGAGGCCTGTAACCAGTGGTGTGTCTCTCAGGGGCCTGTGCTGGGTCAGGTCTTGTTCAACATCTTCATCAATGACCTTGATGAGGGGATAGTGGCCACCCTCAGCAAGTTTGCTGATGATATGAAGTTGGGAGGATTGGCTGACACACCTGAAGGCTGTGCTGCCATTCAGCGAGACCAGGACAGGCTGGAGAGCTGAGCAGAAAAAAACCAGATGAGGTTTAACAAAAGCAAGTGTAGATCTTGCATCTGGGGAGGAATAATTGCATGCACCAGTACAGGTTGGGGGATGAGCTGCTGGAGGGGAGCTCTGCGGAGAGGGACCTGGGTGTCCTGGTGGATGACAGGTTGGCCATGAGCCAGCAGTGTGCCCTTGTGGCCAAGAGGGCCAATGGCATCCTGGGGTGCATTAAAAAGAGTGTGGCCAGCAGGTCGAGGGAGGTGATCCTCTTTCTCTACTCTGCCCTGGTAAAGCCTCATCTGGAGTACTGCGTCCAGTTCTGGGCTCCCCAGTACAAAAAAGACAGGGATCTCTTGGAAGGAGTCCAGCGGAGGGCCACAAAGATGGTGAAGGGCCTGGAGCATCTCTCCTATGAGGAAAGGCTGAGTGAACTGGGTCTGTTCAGCCTTGAGAAAAGAAGACTGAAAGGGGACCTGATCCAGGTCTATAAATATCTAAGGTGTGGGGGGCTGAATGGTGAGGCTGGACTCTTTTCAGTGGTGAGTGGAGACAGGACAAGGGGAAACGGCTGGAAACTGCAGCATAGGAAGTTCTGCACAAATGTGCACAAGAACTTCTTTACAGTGAGGGTGATGGAGCACTGGAACAGGCTGCCCAGGGAGGTGGTGGAGTCTCCTTCTCTGGAGATGTTCAAGACCTGCCTGGATGCCTACCTGTGCGACCTGCTGTAGGGAACCTGCTTTGGCAGGGGGGTTGGACTCGATGATCTCTGGAGGTCCCTTCCAACCCCTACAATTCTGTGATTCTGTGATTCTGTGACTGATAGATGACCTCTCCTGGTACGTATCTTGTCCTTGCTGTGTATGGTGCATCCCGTGCTGATGTAGGGCTTGGTTTTGGTATGTGTACTCTCTGCGCTTAGTGCAGCAGGGAAATCAGCCTGAAAGGTTTTTTGGAAGTTTTTAATGTTCTGATGGAGATGGATTATTTTCCCCGAAGTAAAAGACACTTCTGCATAGAGTCAATTTCTTTTGTGGTGACTTATATGTACGATATACTGCATGGACCCAATGTGTCTGCACAGTTGATAGATTTCTTTGTTTTTTAATTTCTTTTAAATTCTGAAGCTTGATTAACTGCATAAAACTCTTATAAATTAGAGTTCTTCTGGGGAAAAAAAAAAAAGATTAAAACCATGAAACTTTATGTTTTCGAAATGATTTTTAATATATTCTTCTGAAATCATCTATCGCAAAATATCTTCATGGAAAAAAAAAATTGAAATATTCTATCAAATACAATGTCTTCTCTTTCCCTGAAGTAAAAAATAGGGTTTTTTGTTTTGTTTTGTTTTGTTTTGTTTTTTAATTTACTGATTTTTAAATTTAAGTGCTTTATAAGTTCACAGAGGACATTACAGGTAGCTTTATTGTTCTGCAAGTGGTGCTGTCATTTCTACGTCTCCTGTAAATCCCTCTTCAACAATCAAAAATCTGTTTTCTCTCAAAGCTTCTGATTTCAAAAGCAACTGGTTATTCAGCAGTTCTGCTGGTATTTTAATATTTTTTGACTGCATGAACCCAAATATGTCTGCAGAATGGAGCTGAGAAGCAGCCGTGTAGCTTTTTAAAGTTCTGTCAGCTTGTTAGCTGAGATCTGATGAATATGGCATGAATATGGTATGTGGCTGTGCCAAAAACAATAGTTTGCAGGATTTTACTTGCTAGAGTGATAAATTTTAAGTAAAGAACCCCTCTTTGTTTTCTGAAAAACCTCTGTAGAAAGAGATAAAGCTATTGTAAACCTGAGCTTCCAGACTAGTATATAAAACATTTCCCATCATTTGATATATTTGCATAGTTACATTATTTTAGGTCACATATTTAAGGCACTGTTATATATAAAAATAAGTTTATGCACATTAAAACTGTGCTTATATTCCAATGGGCTTGTTCACATCATTACAATTATTTAAGTGAACTTTTTATAGAAATGGAGCCATGTGATCTCTATTTCTGTATGCAGAACAGTCACAGATTTAGTCCTGAAGGACATTTAGGTGAATGAATAAGTAACAAAGGAAAGCATCTCCTTTAGAACAGTCATGTGTGTTTTCTGCAACACTCTGCAATAACAATGCCACGAAGGAATAGCTGCCTTGTCATCAGTTGAACTAAACAGTTTTAACATCAGGTAGAAGTAACGGCCATTGAGTTGGCTATTCTATCACAGGACACCATTAACAGTTGTCTTTGCTTCTAAACTGCCTGCACTTTTCTGTAGAAATAATTCATTTTTCTAGTGGAAATTTAAACCAAAGGGCAAGAAATCTGAGAGCAAATTGCTTCCCATGTTTTAAGACCTTTCTTCGATATGTTTTTGTTTTCTCCAAAGCTCTGTGGCAAGGAAAGCAAGGAATAGATTCTGTTACTTGGGACTCTGTTTGCCCCTCCTCCATCCCTTGCACTCTATACCTCAAGGAGCAGAACTGCATACTCCTTCAAAGTGAAGAAATATTGCCTGTTAGCCACGACTGTAATGAAGGTTTCTGAGTCTGACTACTGGAAAGTGATATTGCTGACAGAATGTAGTTTCCAGATTTGAGAGTCCTCCTGGGATCAGGCATTCCAATATTTTTCTCTGTCTTTACACAAGATCAATTACATTGAAGAGCCATTGTATTTTCCTACGATTGTATAAAAAAGTCAGCCAATCCAGCACAGATGTGTTTTGGGGTGTATAAGTTGGAGATTTATTACATTCAAAGGAATTTTGGGTATCAAATAGGAAAATGAATGTGAGCTCATTGGCATAGGGGCTCTGAAAATTATAGGAAATATCAACAAAGGAAAGGAATTTTTTTTTTTTTTTTCTTTTTTTGTAAATAGTACATCCGAGGAGGACAGGTTTCTTGGGAGCCTGTAGAAGCAGCAGTGGCGATGTACCAAAAAGGCAAAATACAAGAATGAGGAATAGCATGGTGCTAAGAAGACTATGGTTGAAGCTGAGCAGATAGCGCAAAAACAAAATGCAGAAGCCCATGGTTCACCACTGTGACAATTTTCCTGAGGGTTTCCTGGAAAGACTAGAGGAATTTGCGCTCAGGGCCTGTGCATTCCTTCTGTATCATTGGTTTGCACAGCTTACCTATCCCAACTGTTGCATTCCCCAGGCTACAGCCTTACAGAAATCCACAATCTGCCACCCTGGCAGAGCCTCTTCCCTAGGTCTTAACCTGTGAAACAGTTCCAGGGTGTGCAGCTCTGGGTGAGAACCTCCATGTAGGCGATATGAGAAGCAGTGGAATGTACTCCACGCTGAAAAGCAGGGAAACATGGCAAAAAGCTTGAGAAGTGGTTCAGTAAGTACTTTGCACCTACCGCTGATTTTGTCTGTTAGTAAAACATATCCTCATGACACTATGAAGCTCTGCATTGAGCTCTCCCGTTTGCTTATAAAGGAGCTGCTTGCTTACAAAATAGTCTCACTGCATTAGCACATTATTTGTCCTCATCATGTTTCGAGCCAGCTCAGGTATATCCTTGTGCCGCTGCTCTGTTTTATCAAGTCATATTCTGTCTAATCCCTCAATGGAGCATACAGAGCGTCTCTGTGTGCTGCATACACACTGTGTAATGACAGTGATTAGCCCAATCTTGGTATTATCAGGTGGTTTTTCCTTGTTGTATTAGCTAGGTGAAAAGGAAGAGAGACAGCAACAAAGTGTTTGAATTTGCATGGCTATTAGCAACACGATTCAAACTTACTTGACATTTGGCTAGTTTCATGTTTGGAACGTGGGCTAAATAAGCAAAGGCTTAAATGAAACATAGAATTTTGTCTGAAACAAAGTTGTCCCCTTAATCACCTGTAATTATGTTTTTAGCAAATAATTTGGACAATAACAGGTGGAGATTAGCGAACTGCCTAAATGATAAAGAAAAATATTTATATTTATTTTGTGGTTTTAAAAGTGTGAATGTATTTAAATAAAAGATATGCATTTACAGTTTCAATGACACTGAAGTCTACTTCGTAAGAATAAATACCCAGTTGCAATGTGTCAAGCACATAAATGAGAATGATTGTCACACGTGTGAAAAAGCTCCATTGTTCTTCTCGCTCTGAAGTAAATGACATAAATCACAGAGTAATTTGCATAACTTGGAGATTAGAAATGTATCCCTTTATCCTTATTAATACATTTGCCCTTCTTAATTATAAAGATTTGAATCTTATTTTAAAATAATTTCCTACAAAATATACTTGGGGATAGAAGCTGCATGTTAATTCTGGATAGATTATTTGCCTAACCTTACAAAAGAGATAAATTGCTTCTATTTGATAATAGCTAATTTAAAGAGGGGAAAAAAAAAAAAAAAAAGGATTTATTTTATCCAGCAAAAAACTGACTCCTCCATAGGAAAAATGTTCTCACTATAAGCCTAACTATATATTTTTTTTATCTGCCACAGACCTTTAACCATAAAAGTTGTCCTCCAATTTATGTCAGTTACAATTCCCTGTGTATAAAGTATACAATACAGAATCTCAGATAAACTTTTACCAATGCTCATAAAATTTTTCTCAAACTCGGTGTCATTTTTCTTGTATGTTAGTCAGTAGCCCATAGATCTTGACTGATTCACATAATTGAATAATCCTTTTTATAGGGAGTTTCCTCAGGAGATCTTCATTTTCAACTCCTTCTCAAGGCAGAATCAGCTGCAGCAGATTGTCCATGTCCTGTCATGTTCTAAATATCTGCACAGATGGAGATTTAAAAACCTCTCTAGGGAACCTATGTCAGTACTTGATCACCCTCATATTTAAGAATTGCACTCTTGAATTCAAATGGCATTTCTTGTGTTCCAGTCTGTGCCCATTGCCTCTTGTCCTGGGCACCACTGAGAGCTTAGATCTACCTACCTTCTCTCATCTTTTCATTTATTTGCATATGTTGAGGTTTCCCAGAACCTTCTAATCTCCAGGCTGAGCAGTCCCACCTCTCTCAGCATCTCCTCTTAATCATGTTTGTGCCTCTTTGCTGTACTTGCTTCAGGGAGTGCCCATCTTGTACTGGAGAGCCCAGAACTGGACATTGTACTCCAGGTGTGGCCTCACCAGTGCTGAGTAGTAGATACAGTAGACTCATCAGATTTGTAAGATTCATCTGATGAATTCCAAGATGTTGCAGATAACTGAGGACAACATGCTTGATTTGGAGGAAATCTGATTACAGAAAAAAGGAAGAGGATAGTCCATTTCTTAAAAAAAATTATTCTGTAGTTACCTTTCTCATTAGTACCTTCCAATCTGTCTAGCTCTTAATTTAATTCATTCTTCCCAAAATCCATTGTAATCCCTTCAGACATTTGTCTGAAAAAATAATGAGGAAGCATGGAGTTGCTAAAGAAAAAAATAATAATTTGGGCATAAATTGCAAAGAGTGTGGTGCAATGGAAAAGGAAACACTGACAGTAGTAGGGTGGACTTTCATTCTGGTCCTTTTCAACACAGGCCATTCTATGATTCATACAAACCTACACACAAAAGTGATTCTACAAACCTTGGATGCTCTGATATTTCAGTTGTGAATATTTGCTTATGTCTGGTAAGTTAAAAAAGAAATTGATTTCAGGGAAATTATGGCCTTTGGCAAAAAAAAAAAAAAAAGATGAAATGAAGATAAGACAGAAACACTTAAAATAGCCCCAGCATATTGCTCCCAGACTTATGTGCCAGTTTCTAGCATTTTAGGCTGTGGATGCTCCATCCCTGGATGCATTCAAGGCCAAGCTGGATGTGACTATGAA